GATATACTCAAGGTCATACTTTGGCTCTTGTGGACTTGTTCTAATTTTCTTCAACTTCAACTTGAACCTGCATATGAGCAACTGATGTTCTGTTCCACAGTCGGCACCTGGCTTTGTTCCGACTGATGATAGTGAACTTTTCCACTGTCTCTTTCCACAAATGTAGCCGATTTGATTCCTGCATATTCCATCTGGCGAGGTATAGTTGCCATTTCCACATTTTGTTGAAAGAAGGTATTTGCGATGAAGAAGTCATTGGTTTTGCAAAATTCTATTACGTGATCTCTGGTGTCGTTTCTATCACCAAGGCCATATTTTCCAACTACCGAGCCTTCTTCTGTTTCCAACTTTTGCATTCCAATCCCCAATAATTATCGATATATCCTGACTGCATGTTTGACCAATTTCAGACTGCAGAAGTTGGTAAAAACCTTTTATTTCTTCATCGTTGGCCCTAGTGGTTGGTGTGTAAACTTGAATAATAGTGGTATTAACTGGACTTCCTTGCAGGAGTATGGACGTTTTCCCATTACTGACAGCGTTGTACTTCAAGATAGATCTTGATATGTTCTTTCTGACAATGAATGCAACACTAGTCCTCTTTAATTTGTCATTTCTGGCATAGTAGACCACATGATTTTCTGATTCAAAATGGCCAATACCAGTCCATTTCAGCTCACTAATGCCTAAGATATTGATCTTTAGGTATTCCATTTCATTTTTGACAACTTCCAATTTTCCCAGATCCATACTTCATACATTGCACATTACGGTTATTAACGGATGTTTGCAGCTGTTTCTTCTCATTTTGAATTGTATAACATCAACAAATGAAGGTAGCAAAAGTTTGATTCTATCCACATCATTAAAACTGACTCTACTTTGAGGAGGCAGCTTTTCCCCTGTTGTATTTTGAATGCCTTCCAATCTGCGGGGCTCATCTTCTGACACTATATCAGACAATGTTCCACTGCTATTCATAAGGTTTTCAGTGGCCTATTTTTTCAGATGTAGACTGCCAGGTCCTTTTTCCTAGTTTGTCTTAGTCTGGAAGCTCCACTGAAACCTGTCCACCAAGGGTGAACCTGCTGGTATTTGAAATACCAGTGGCAAACCTTCCAGTATCAAAGCAACACGCAAGTGACCACAGTACGACAAACTGACAGACATGTGGTGGTTTTATAGTTTAGGTCAAGGTAAAAAATTTTTGGGATGCCACAATGCCACTTAACAACATTTCTCACTTTCCTCCTTCCTCATTTGGCCATTTTACTTAATTTTATCCTCATTCCAATTTGCAGTACCACTCTATACATGAGAACACCTGGTAGAAGAGACAAAACCTGGGTTATTATCACACATCAAAGACCTAACCAATGGTTGAAGAACACTGCTCTCGGGTACTATTTGTTTTATCAATACAAGTAACATGATACGTTTGTACGTGGGATAAGTCTTATCTAAAGATCAACATAAATACAAACAAAAAACAGATATAGAAATCCAGGGACCTGAGAGTGTATCAAGTTTAAACCAGTTGCCATCGAGTTAATACCAGCTGTGATACAGAAACTCAGGTCTCCTCAGATGCGGGGTTGAGTACCTGACTCCGTCATTTACTTTACTGTTTTGTGTTTGCTGTTGATGTTAAAGGCCACATTTGTGATTTACCACTGTCTTTTAATCACACTTCTGCCAAGTTCATTGTCTCTCAGCAAAGGGGCCTGATGGCTACCGATGGGTTTTTCAGGCCAGACTGACTTATTCAGTGAAACTGTCATTTGACCCTTGAGACTTTAAATCGAGGTCACACACATAAAAATAACCTTTGCTTATAAACTCATTGTTTATACTTCTACACTTTCTTGTTTTTTTCCTCTAAACAAATAACATTTAAATCAGATTTTATTATTCCCCAAAGAAAATTTTCTTTCAGAAGAATATACATAACATGTATAATATATAGGAAGAAACTGGAGAATTTGTGCTTTCTTTTCATCTTCCAAAGAGAGTTGACAACTTCTGCTAGAGAGAGCCAAATATAAAAACAACGGAGAAATGTTAGAAGTAAAACAAAACAGTCTGTGGACCATGTCCAGATACGATGCTTGGTACAGTAGGAAACATGAAGTGCAAGATAAGGTGTCCACTCTAAAATAGCCACATTTTGTTGGCTCTTCCTCCAAAGCACATCCACAACGCAACCACTCTCTGCCACCTCCATCTCACATCAACTATTCTTCAGTGATAACCTTCTACTTGGCTGCTGTTCCTTGAACTTGCCAAGCATATTCTGAGCTCAGTGCCTTTGTCTGCTTGCTGTTAACTCTGCCTAGAATGCTCTTCCCCATATATACACAGGGCTCAATCCCGTCAGGTTTCTGTTCAAATCATCAAATCAAAAAGACTAGCCCTGACCACTCTATGTAAAATAACTCCCTCTCCTATCTACAACCCTTCTTTGTTCATCTTCATAGTATTTATCATTATCTAACATGCCATGTATTTACTTATTACTAGTCTCCTCCTACTAAAATATAAACTCCTGAGAACAGAAAATTTTGGCTATTTTGTTCACTGCTGTAGCCTCTGTGACGAGATTAATGCCGGGCACATGGTAGTTATTCAATAAATATCTGTTCAATGATATGTAACTGTTCAAGTTAAATAATGATATAGGGCAAGAGCAAATTAGTAATACAAGACAGTTCATAATGAATTGCTAATTGAAACAGTATGGGTCAGTAATGCCCAAAAGTAATACCCATACTCATGTATCAGCATCGCTTGGGGAGCTTTTTCAAAATACACATGGCCAGGCCTTACAAGACGCACCGAATCTCGCCAGGTGGGGTGCTGACCATGTATATGTTTAAACAGCTTTCCAGGTGATTCTATCTTGTACCCCTATTTAAAACTACTGGTATCAAAACATATCAGTTCAGCAGAGGGAGAAAAGTTGAAAGAAAAAGTGTATTAAAAAAAAGGCACCATGTAAGACAGTATACAATACTGGGGAAGCCAGCACAACTTGTTCAAGAAAAGGTCATGGAAGCTCCATAGACACATCCAAACTCCCTGAGGGGCCAAATTACTGGGCTGAGGGCTGTGGGGACCATGGTCTCCGGGAATATCTAGCTCAATTGGCATAACATAGTTTATAAAGAAAACGTTCTACATTCTACTTGGTGAGTAGCATCTGGGGTCTTAAAAGTTTGTGAGCGGCCATCTAAGATACGCCACTGGTCTCACCCTGTTGGGAGCAAGGGAAAATGAAGAAAACCAAAGACACAAGGGAAAGATCAGTCCAAAGGACTAACGGACCACAACTACCACAGCCTCCACCAGATTGAGTCCAGCACAACTACATGGTGCCTGGCTACCACCAATGACTGCTCTGACAGGGATCACAATAGAGGGTCCCAGACAGGGGTGGAGAAAAATGTAGAACAAAATTCTAACTCACAAAAAAAGAAGACAAGACCTACCGGTCTGACAAGAGACTGGAGAAACCCTGAGAGTATGGCCCCCGTACGCCCTTATAGCTCAGTAATGAAGTCACTCCTGAGGTTCCCCCTTCAGTCAAGTATTAGACAGATCCATCAAATAAAATGAGACTAAATGGGCACACTAGCCCAGCGGCAAGGATGAGAAGACAGGAGGGGACAGGAAAGCTGGTAATGGGGAAACCAAGGTCAAAAAGGAGCGAGCGTTGACATGTTGTGGGGTTGGCAACCAATGTCACAAAAACAATGTGTATTAATTGTTTAATAAGAAACTAGCTTGCTCTGTAAACCTTTATCTCAAGTACAATAAAAAAATTAAATTAAAAAAAAAAAAAGGCACCATGCTATACTAGAAAAGCATGGACTTTGAAATTGAATACAACTCTACCACTCTTTAGCTGTGAGACTGGGGAAGTTACTTAACCTCTTAGTTTCTACACTCATAAAATGGAGATAATCTCTATACCTTCTCTCCCTCCCCACATCCATTCCAAACTACTCCAAGAATATTGTAAAACTAAAATGAAGACAAGTATATAAAGCATCTACTTTTGTGCATTAAACTAGAACTTACTGGAATTACTTTCATTGAAATAAGAAAAAATAATAATGGCAGAAACACAAAAAGTACGTGTAATCCTGGCATAAGTGGCTATAAAAATGTCCCTTCCTCTTCTGATAGGTCAAGCGGGGATGAAATTTGTTAGGAGTTTCACAGATATGGTAATATTATGGAGCAGTGATTCCCAAACTTGAGAGTGCACCTGAATCACCTAGAGGGATTACTAAAGCACAGATTTCTAGGCCCACTCTCAGAATTCCTCATTCGGTAAGTCTGGGGTGTTGTTGCTGTTAGTTGCCTTCGAGTTGATTCCAAGTTATGGTGACCCCATGTGCGCAGAGCAGAACTGCTCCACAGAGTTTTCAAGGCTATGGCCTTTCAGAAGCAGATCAGCAGGCCTGTCTCCGAGATGCTGCTGGGTGGGCCTGAACCACCAACCTTTCAGCTAGAAGTTGAGTGCTTAACCATTGGCATCATCCAGGGACTCCATAAGTCTGGGATGGGGCCTGATAATTTGCATTCTGAACAAGCTCCCAGGTGATGCTGATACTTCTGGTCTAGGGACCACACTTTAAGAACCAATGAATTAAAGTATGCACATTCTAACAAAACCTCTGAGCAGACTAATTCCTTCAATATAATTTTTTAAATCAAAAACCTAAAACAGTTCACTTAAAAAAAATCATACCCAGTAATATGCTTATGATTTTCAGAATATTTTATAAATCAGATGAAAGTCAAATACTAAGACTTAAATAACAACAAAATTTTATGCCACTGGTATCCCAATGACAAATCTTCTAAAAATTAATTCAAAGGAGAATAATTCTTAGAATACTGATTGTTTTAAAAGTTAAAATCTACATAGAAACAAAATACGGCAATTTTAAAGAGCAAGTATTGATGGCTCAATGCCATAAAAGAATACTCACAGGTATGGAGGCATTCTGTCACCGTAGTTGGCTTGATCAGATACCCTTTACAAATATAGCAGGTGATGTAAGGATTGAAATCTTTCACCAAGTGTTTCCTTTGAGTAGCCATTCGTGGTCAGCTGGCTTTAGTAGTTCAGGCAAACAAGGGTATTAAGTGGATGAAAGTCTGATCTCAGGAGCTGGTATGTCGTTCCCAACTGGATGTCCTGAGACATGTGAATTAACATCCAGATTTACCATGAGATCGCTGATCATCACTCCTTCTGGTGGTTTTGCTTTCCCATATCTGTTTCCACAATAATTTTAAAAAGAGAAAAAAGGGTCAAATTCCTTATACTGTATTAATATCATTATAATAACTGCAAGTGTTACACGTTCCAAATTAGGTGAATAGGTGAATAAACATTTCCTTCACTGTAACGTTCATTTGTAAAGCTGCTATAATTTAATTCAGAGTAATGACACATTCATCCAATCCTAGCACCTCTGCAAATGATATTCAAAGCCATTAACTCCATTTTTGACATCTTTACCTCTCTAGTGATGCATTTTAACTATCTGCTTGACTGCTCTATCAGGAGTTCCTGCCAATACAAGTTAAAAGATTCAAAACTGAAGTTGTTATCTTCCCTATCAAAACATTCCCCATTTCCATCTTGTAGCCCACATCCAGTCAGTAGTCAAATCAAGTTGATGCCCTTTCCCATTCCATCCAAGGCCACCCTACTTGTGTATTACCCCACACCTGCAATCCACCTTATGTTTAGCTACCAGGTTTATTTTATTCAATCATATCTGGGTCCTCTGCACAAAGAATGTCAGTGTCTTCTTTTTATAAACAGAAAAACAAACTGTTCCTGTTGAGTTGACTCTGACTCACAGAGACCCCATCTGTTTCATAGCAGAACTGTGCTCTGCGGGGTTTTCAATGGCAGTGATCCTTCAGAAGTAGATCACCAGATCTTTCTTGTGAGTTGCCCCTGGGTGGATTTCATCAACCAACCTTTTGGTTAGTAGCCAAGCACTTAACCCTTTGTGCAACCCAGGGACTCCTTATGAACAGAAGGTTTAATTTGCTCAATTTGCCACATAAGACCCTTCACTGGTTGACCTTAACATACCCAACACCTTTCTTCAGGCAAACTGAACTGATAACTCCTCTCCCAGGCCCTATGTCCTCTAGCCAACAAATCCTTCCTCTTCTCTCTCCAGATCCTACCTATCTTTCAAGGCCCATCTCCAATATTATTCTCACTTGTAATCTCTCCTTAGACTTTAACCCTTCTTTCCCATCGTATATTCTGTATAATTTGTTTTACAGTTACACTTATGTATCTACCCTATTAGACCACAAAATCCTTGATAAAAACCAGTCACATCTAGTAGATGTAAAACCTGGGCAAAGTACTCATCCAAAGTACTCATCCTAAATCTTGAAACTGTAAAAGGGAATAATAAGAGTGTCAACCTCCTGGAGTGCTGAGGATTAAATGAGACAATATATGTAAAGCTGCTGCTGTTGCCCAGTTGATTCTGACTCATGGCGACCCCATATGTGCAGAGTAGACCTGCTCATAAGGTTTTCCAGGCTGTGACCTTTCAGGAGCAGCAATCTCCTGGCCTGTCTTCTGAGGAGCCTCCAGGTTAAATTCCAACCGACTAAGTAGTCTACACCTTAACCATTTGGGACTTCTATACATAAAGCTAGCACACAATAAAAACTGAATAAATGCCATTAGCTTTTTTTTCTTTAAAACGAACCATTTAATATACTTGACTTGTACATAAGGCGACTGGAGGGAAAAAAAAAAAGTTAATGGCTTGTTACAATGAAAGTACCCTCTCAAAACACACAACATGGAACGTGCTGATTTTCCTGAGTTCATTCTCTAAACAGGAACTTTTCTCCTATTTTAGCTGTTACACTCACAGGGAAGTATAAAGCAACTGGAAGGGTAAAAGGCTACACTCCAGCTGAAGCGTTGCCACTAAGAGTGTGCACGACCTAGGTTCTCAGTGTAATCACCCGCTCGGGAAATAATTCAGGGGTCTGAGTTCTGGTCCTTGGCACCGTATGACCTTCAGCAAGGCATTTAACATCTGTGCCTGCGTCTTGGTTTCCTCCTCTGTACGTTAGGACTACCTGCCCTGCCTTTCCCACAGGTTTGCCACGAAGCGCCGAAGTACCAGAAAGTCCTTTCAAAGAGGAAACGCGCGGTCCCCACTTGGGGTGGTATTATGATCCTAAGACAGACCGCCTTGTCAACAAGACGGTTAAAGGAAACAAGTACTTGCGGCGATGGGGTCAGGGCGGGAGGAACTTTTCCGCGTCCTCCGGCGGGACCCAGCGACACCGCCGTGCGCGATCCCAGCCCGTCCACCCCTCCCGCCTGGCAGGTGCGCGGGCCCGGGCTCCGCGGACGCGCTGCTCGGCCG